CGACAGCGTTTAGATTCTTTGCAGTTTCATATTTATTATTTCTCATTAATGAGACATTTAGTATTTCTCATCCAAATACTCGATTATTCGACTGAATACTCGATTACTAAAATAACCGAGCATATTAGGACCGAGCTGTAGAGTAAGAGCACCATTTTGTTTGTTAAACAGGAAGTGAAACTGAGCTTTTCGGCACTCACAAATAAAAAAAGTGACAGCACGCTGCGTTCAGCCCATCCGGCCTGAAAACAGCAGCCTCCAAATCGACTGTGTGCTCACCAAAATAAAGTTTAACACGTTTCCTGTTTCTCTGGGGAACACCTCGCCCTCTCCTGACTGGGAGGAGGCGCACGGGGAGGAGGCGCACGCCATTGATAACAAGTGAAAACCAGAGCTTTGCAGCACAAAACACCTGAAACTACCCTAAGCGTCGGAGCAGTTTCTCTGAGCTCGCCGCGTCTCGTGGCCATTTTTAGGTTTGAACTTTGAGCTCAGATCAGGTTTGACACCATTTTTCTTTCTCACGCGTGGCAGGAAATCGCTTCAGACGCATCTGCGCTTCGGGAAACACTCCGACACTCGCTCTGGTGAAATCACCACGAGATGAAGTGCGGGGTCATCGTGTGCCGACTCCTCAAGCACACAGCGACGTCACATTTTTAACCTCGACTCCATCGGACATCTGCATTCACACCGCCGGGTTCAGCCTGAACAGGGTGAATTTGGGCGGGGGTGGAATGACGAGAACAGGAATAACATGGAAACACATTTCGAGGCTTCACAGCAAACAAACTTCCAGCTTCTGATGCAGATGTTTAACCCGACACAGGTTTAGTCTCGCCGCTACGGCCATCTGATCAGGCGCTGCTCCCTCCAGGTGGGGGTTTGACTCCTACCTGGGCTCTGCATGTTGATGTAGCAGAGGATCTTGTCTCGTCCCCTCAGCGCCTCGGCCCCGCCTCCCTCCTCTCGCTCCATGTCGGCCCCTAAACCGTCACCTGTCGAGTCCTCAGAAACGAACGGACGCCCGGCTCTCATGTCCCGCTGCTTTCAGCCCGTTCGGCCGCCAAAAATCTGACGTCATCTCAGCTACATCTTCATTTTCAGTCACCTCGCTCAACTCAGGCCTGCTGGACGTGGCTTCGCTCTGCACCTGCAGCTCTGCTCCGCCTCCACGGCCTCAAAACCTCCTTTTTTATTTTTCCAGCTCGCCGTCCGCGGCTCGGAGACGTTTCCAAACGACGCAACTTTCTCCCGTCCGTCTCTCTCTCCCTCTCTCTCGCAGTCTCGGTTCAAAGCTCAGGAGAGCAGCTTGGAGATGTGTGACATCACCGATGGCTCCAGCCAATCCTGTGATGGCAGTGATATCACCAAGGCAACACCCCCTCCTCCCTCCCCTCTTCGTCTGCTGCATCTCTCACTCTGTGGACGGGTGATGTCATCGTTTCAGCTGCTGACCGGCTGACTCAGAGCCGAGCAGAGTGGATGGATGAGTCGATGAATGAGTGACTAACGCAATCAGAGCTGCTCGTTGACCCACTTAACTGACCCAGAGACAAACGCCAGCGATCATGTGTGCTTTTTTTAAATCAGCTGATTTAGGCTTTAAATATTCCCTCCATCACATCTGAGAGGTTTTATCTGCTGAAACCTTCCATTTCTCTCCAAATCCATCTTTCCTCTCTGTTACCCACAGCACCCGATCCTTCAGCCAATCATCATCCTGAAATAACAAAACAGAAAGAAAAAAACTCCTTCCTTCCTTAATGGGACAGGAATGAGCTGCAGAATTCCTGAACCCCCAAAATGGCAAATGTATGACAGAAATTCTGCCTCTTCCCCCCGAAGAGCCAATCATCTGCTTTCTAACAGCCAATCACGTGTGCTGGTGCACACATGAGGACCACTGTTAACAACAGCTGCCAAAAACAATCCAGGAGTGAGCGCTGTAATTACACCGCGACACATTATAAAGTAAGCATGAAATAACAATAATAATAACAATAAAGACAGAACAGACGTTCAGACGTTCGGTGCTCTGGGTCATCCTCGCTGTGAAAAACAGGAAGTTCAGGAACCATCCGTGAGCTGCGCTGCGTAAAGCTTTCATCACGAGCATTATTTCAACCGTTTCCACCGTCTGCTGAACAACAGTACCAGACTGTACCTCAGCACCGGCTGATCACTTCCTGTCACATCTTAACCCAAAGGCCTCACAGATGTTGCCAAAGTAACCGCGAGTTTAAACGGCGTCTGATTCTTCTGTACGACGTGTAAAACTTAAAAACATAAACCTGTCGTTCGACAGTGTGAGGACGGCGCTCAGGCCTCAGAACGCTCTAAACACTCTTGGATCTGTGTGATGTCAGAAAGGATGGATAAGCCCCACCTACTTCATGTTCACGAGGAGCAGCCAATAGGGAGAAAGGCATCCCTGATCATCTTAAAGGAGGAGGAGCCAAAACAACTTGAGTGTAAGACAAAGGAGGATAATTTTTGGACTTCAGCATAGTCCGAGAATAAAACTGTGGAGCTGGAAATGAGCCAAAGTCGTCAGCCTGAGAGCTTCAGTACTTCCCTGAGTGAAACCAAAGCCTCGTGCAGTCTTTACCAATAAACCCCGTCATCAAATCTTTGTTGCTGCACTTTTTCAGACTCATCTTTCCGCCGCCGTCTCATCTGACCCGTTCGATTGAGCAACAGCTGTGCGTGACACAGACTAAACATGACGGCCAGGAACTGAGAGCAACCATACGGGAGTTTTACACACATGCACATCAACGCTTAGCCACTCGAACACAGGCAGGTGTGTGTTACCTGGTGCGGCCTGGTTCATGTTGAGCTCGCTGGTTATCAGAACCTCCAGGACCTGAACCAGAGGATCCAGACCCGACTCAGACCTGAAGACAGAGACACAACATCATCAGTGCTGTTAACAAAATGGGTCAAAGGTTTTCTCTGCTTCATCTTATTAATCATCACACTTCCTGTGAGTGTGGCCTCAAATATGTGCATGTGCCAGGACCTGCAAGCAGCTGACGTCCTTCCTGACATCAGTGACTCCCTGAACCAGAGCAGCGTGACCCATCTAAGCTAAACTTCAGGCCTCAGGGTTTGCAAGCCAGACAACATGTTTCTCCATGTTAGCTGCTCTTAAGAGTCATAAAATGATGCGTTATGAAACATTCCTTCAACTTAGTATGGAAAAGAAAATAAAGTGTGTATTAATAACCCGCCACGCGTGTATTAATAACCCGCCACGCGTGTATTAATAACCCGCCACGCGTGTATTAATAACCCGTCACGTGTGTATTAATAACCCGTCACATGTGTATTAATAACCCGCCACGCGTGTATTAATAACCCGTCACGCGTGTATAAATAGCTGTGGATCACTGACCCTGCGGTCTGTCTGAACAGCAGCGGGCTGAAGCTCTCGGCGAGGTTTCGGGGGCTCAGCTGGTTCCTGGAGCCGTGCAGGCACAGTCGGGCCAGGTGTCTAACCACGCTGAGCAAGGTCAGCCCATACTGGGCGGGGCAAGTTGGCGAGCTGGCCACGCTCCGCAGCAACTGGGCGCACTCCTCTAGGTCTCTGACCTCTGGAAGCAGGAACAGGAAACAGGACAGAAGTGTGAACAAACTACCAGATCCAGTGTGAAAGAGGGAGACAGGGGCGGGATCGTGGGGCTTCTTCTGACCTTGAACGGCGTGGATCATGTCGGCCTGCAGCGAGGCTGGCAGAACGGGACCGGGTAGATCCTGCAGGAACCGGACCACCCCGTCACACAGGGACGGCACCTCCAGCTGCTCCAGGTCTGAAAACAAACATCAGTTTAAGCAGAGGTTTCACGATGCAGTTGTTCTGTAATTCACAGGTGAAAACATGTCCTCCTCACCTGCGTCTGCGAGCTGCTGCGTGTCCACGCCGCCGCCGCTGAGGCTGCGATACACGCCGGGGCTGTCCAAACCTGCAGCAACACACACATGTTACAAACACCAGCTGAAGACTTCGTCAGATCAATATTTCAAAACTTCACACTCACAGTTTGCTTTATGTTCAACCTGACATGAGGAACATAGTTTAGATAGAAGTGTTATAAGCTCCTAAACTGAAGCTGGATCTAATAAAGTGTCCACAAATGCATTTCTGAGAACTCTGCAGAACTAACTGCATAAATGAGGTACTGTGAAAAAGTTCCTACAGTCTGAAAGTCACGAAGCTTCAAATGTTCAGCTTAAATGCTGGAAAACACCAACGCAGTGACATCAGAGTGAAGGAATAAAAGGTCAGAATAAAGCTGTGAATGCATCTGAAGGGTTAGTGTGCTGTTTGCAGATGTAGGCGTCTCGAAGCTTCAGAAGAACAACACAGATAAACTCTGAAACCAGACGCAGAGACAGGAACTGGTTGGAAATCCACGTCAGTGTGTTCGGTACCTTTGGTCTCTATGGCCTCCATCAGTCTGCTGAGGAGGGGCGGGGCCGTGTCCGGGGGTCCGAACTGCTCGGGGAGGTCTGGCAGCACGAGACCTGAAGAAGAACAAACCGCACACGCAAGATTTCAACTCAAAAGTCAAAGTAATAAGATAGCTTCATAACGAGACATTGATCTCCCTCCTTTAACCTTTATGATGTCATAAAGTATACAAGGAAACCGGGGGGGAGGGGGG